ATATGTACATATATATATACACACACTAATTAAATTAATAATATGTAATACCAATCTTCGAAGATGAACTCACACGAATATTACTAAACCATATCGATGAATTGGTAAGTTGTAAATTTTATGTATTTATTTTTTATTTATTTTTTTCTTGGTATAATTATTTTGATTACAGAATAGAACAGTATGTGTGAATGCATTTATTTTTTTCACAGATTGAATTTTTAAGAATTAAAGAGACAACAGGATGATCTTAACGAAGAACAATTAGATATTGGATTTTATGAAGAAGAATTGGTAGGTACCGTTTTGTTAGTATTTTTTCAATTTATTGAAATTGATTTTTATGTTTTACGTAGATAGCATTTAATCTTACGTTAGGTAAAATATTTTTCTTTTTTCTGTTATTACAGTTTGAATTTGTAAATGGTATCAATGACGAAAATGAAGATACTGATGATAACATACATTTTGCTTGTGAACAGGCTTTATTTGAAATTCAGAGACATGGTCAATTAAGCTTAGGTATGCACAGTAAACTTTTGTGTAAGACGATAACATAGTGAGACGACATGGACAATGAAGGCATAAGAAAATGATTTACAAAGATGAAGACGAAAAAATTGAAGAGGAAGATAATAGTGTGAGACGACATGGTCAAGGAAAACATATGAAGATGATTTATGAACATGAAAACGAAGAAATTGAAGAAAACGATCAAAACGTTATATAGTACAATACGGAGCAGGAAAACACGTTATACAAATGGTAAGTTAAGTTTCTGATTTTTGGTAATAATTAATACAATATTAACTATATTATGTTATATTTTAATATATCTTTTTTCTTATGTTTTAGCCTGTGCGAGGTAACAAGAGATCAAGATAATATAAGGATAACGACGATAATAGCGATGGTGAAGATGAAATGGATTTCGATAACATGGACGTAAGAAAACTGTGTGTTATAAGGAAATATGAACGATAAATTAAATAATAATTTAACATATTTGCGAGCGATCATTTAGTTACTTTAGTAGGCAAAAGAAAGCCTTTAAAAATTCATATAGATAGAGGTACAGAATTTACAAACAAAAGGGTTCAAGCATATTTTAAATCGAGAGACATACATTTTTTTACGACAAACTATTAAACAACGACTTGTGTTGTTGAGAGATTGAGATGTTACGGCAAGCCAATAAAGTTGAATACATGTTACAGGAACTTACTGGTGAAGATGTTTGCGGTAATGGTACGGATGAAAATGATGATGGCGGATAGAGAAAACAAGCTGAGGAAAAAAAAAGATGATGGTACAACGCGCAGAGGAGGAAAAAAAGACGATGATGCAAAATTCCAATAACCAGTACAATTGGTTAAATCAGTATGAATGTATGTGGATTGATAAGGAAAAAATATATGCCGGTAATTAGAGACTCTATTTAGGCTCTACTTTCTGATGCGAAAATCGTTCATATTTACGAAACCACTGAGCTCTAAAACTATATCAGTATTCTTCATCGAAGTTGAACTAAATTATTTCATCAATAAATATGGCTTGCTTTTCATACTCAAGAAATGAACGAGGAACCAATCCTGATTATCAGTGATGACGAGATTCCTTTGATTGATCTTACGTCTTAATGAGGATCCAATAATTATAAGTAGCAGCAGTGATGATAAGGTGTACTTGAGAAATAATGAACCAATCGTGATTAGCAGCGATGACAAGCTTCCTATGAATGATCCGGCAAGTAAATCTATTTCGCTAAATAACGATACCAAATCAAATCATTCGTATTACTGAAGAAGAAATCCTAAATAATCCTACGTAGGCCTACGATATATCTGACTACCCTTGCTACCTGGCGGCGAATCCTGACACCATTTACGAAGACAGTGTGTTTGAGCAGGAAAGAATCGTCCAGGATTTCCAAGCTGATGAGATGATGGTAAAAGAAATTACGGCAACTAATATACATTGAACATTTTTTAGTTGTACTAAAGAGATTAAAAGAGACTGTTATAGATGCGAATTCGACAGAGCGAGTCAGATAGACTAAAGACACGTGTTTAATGATGACCGGATACGAACAATTAAGCGAACATTTCGAACAAATTTTATATGATAATTATATAGATGATCAAGTATGTATGATCAATTGCTCGATCGATAAGGTCTTTCTAAAAGCGAGAATACATTCCATCATTTCTTGCATTTGATTCAAGTCGACATTCATTTATTTGATAAACTTTTAAATGCTTGGAGCTCTTAAATGTACCATGTTTTATTATTATTATTATTATTATTATTATTATTATTATTATTATTATTATTAATTATTATTATTATTAGTATTCTGTGATGTTCTATAGTGATCATTTTCAATAGTGTGTATGTTTGTAAATAAATCTATGGAAAAATGAATGAAATTTAAATCTTTATTTGTCTTCGATTTAGTTGTCTCGTTTCATTTGATTGTGTGAGAGGAATGAGTATGGACGAGAAATTGAGAAAAGTGTATTACGATCCTAAACATCCTGGCAGTTTCGGAGGTGCAGAACGACTTTAAAAAAGTGTGAAAGATGAATTAATATTACTAATAAGAAAGAAGTAAAAAAATGGCTGAGCAGTCAATCCATTCCAAAATTTCCGTCTCCACGAATTTGTTTACACTCTGTATTACTTGATCAATGGCAAATCAGTTCTGTTTTTATCTTTGCATAACACAGCTAACTTCGATCCAAACACAAAAACAATAGTTATACGGCCCCAGTTTATTATATTATTACTAAACATTTCTGTTAAAAGGTCTTTAAAAAACGTCTCAATATTCTCATTTGAATCAAGCAATACTTCCCTTGTCAAATTATAAAGACGCTTTATACATCTTTTCGCAATAGTTGAAAAAAATTACAGTTTATATCCTCTATTTATTCCATATCATTGCCTAGTTTATATGCTACAAACGCTGAATTGATTTCTCGTGCAATTCTTTTAGTTTCCATGCTTATATTTTTTTCTCGAATGACGCTATTTCTTCAAAATATATACCTAAAACGAATACTAAAATTAGATGACCTCACTTATAATAATATAATATAACCTGGTCAAAAAGCACTTCCACAAAGACAGCATCCTCCACAAATTGTTCAACAAGAACAACGTAAATGTTAGCTACAGTTGCACAAGAAACATGGGCAGCACCATCAAAGCCCACAACAATCACCTTCTCCACACCAAACAACAAACACCGACCAAACTATGCAACTGTCGGATTAAAGAAGATTGCCCACTCTCGGGAAACTGCCTCACCTCCTCAATTATTTACAAAGTTACAATCACAACAAACGGAGAATCAAAGCATTACATCGGGCTCACAGATACCGCATTTAAAACCCGATATACAAATCATAAGCACACATTCAATGCACCAAAACACAGAAACAGCACAGAACTTTCAAAGTTCATATGGAAACTAAAAGACAGCAAAACACAATACAATATCAAATGGTCCATTATTGATAGAGCCTCATCCTACTCACCCAAAACAAAGCGATGCAATCTATGCAACGCAGAAAAGTTTCATATAATTTATGCAGACAAACAATGTACTTTGAACAAAAGGCACGAACTCCTTTCAAAATGCAGACACCGTGCCAAATTCCTACTCAAAAACACATAATACCTAATTTGCATCTACACCGGCCCAACTCTACATATACACGTCAAATTTGAAATTCCCTTCACTCCTGAAGATTGCCTAGTGCATGAAACAGCCTGTAGAGTGAAATTACAAGTTCCTTATTATTATTATTATTATTATTATTATTATTATTATTATTATTATTATTATTATTATTATTATTATTATTATTATATATATATAATAATAGAAAATAATGAAAAATATTTAAGCAATTGGCAAAAAATAACAATTAGGCCTAGTATTGAAATTAATAATTTTGTTATATTATTATATAAATATTAATAGGCCTAATAATTATAATTAAAAAAATATCATAAGTAGCATTAGTATTGATAATAATAACTAGATGACTGTCTCTTATACACATCTAGATGTGTATAAGAGACAGACTCAGATATGTGTATGCTCTCTCTGATAATATATCAACATTATGAAAGTTTATACCCACATATATAAATTAATACCCGCATAATTATAGTTTATGTACTCTCATAATTATAGTTTATATACCCTCATTAATATTCCATTTATTTGTTATGAATAAATAGTTTCATTTCCAATAAACAGTCTAGAGTGGTTAATCTAACTAGGCGTACGATTTACGAAATATTATTCCGAGGGGACGAAGTATTATTTCGAGGGGACGAAATATTATTTAGATGGAACGAAATATTATTTCGAGAGAACGAAATAATATTATTTCGAGGGACAAAATAATATTTCGAGGGAACAAAATAATATTTCTGGGGAACGGAAATAATATTTCAAGGGAACGAAATAATATTATTTCGAGGGAACGATATAATATTTCGAGGGACAAAATAATATTTCGAGGGAACTAAATAATATTTCGAGGGAACTGAAATGATTTCGAGGGAAAGAAATAATATTTCGTTTCCTTGAAATATAATTTCGTTCCCTCGAAATAAAATTTCGTTCAAACTAAATATTATTTCGTTCCGTCGAAGTGGTTTTATAATGCAAACATTATAGTACAACACTGAGCGGGAAAACACGTTAAACAATTGGTAAGTACGGATGAAGATGATGATGGCGGAAAGAGAAAACAAGCTGAGGAAAAAAAG